ATGTGCTGGACACAAATGATGTATGTACGGATTGTGATGAGTTGTATGAGCCCCTAATAAAATGATTATTTAATTAAAAAAAACCCAACACCTTATCAGCCCACGTGGGCCAAACCCAGTCTCTTTGCCCTCATGTGATCTCTGTTATCACAGGCCTTATTGATGATGGCTCCTCTACTCCTTCAGCACCTACGATTTTCAGCAATTGATTCAGCAAGCACGTATAAGGTTATTTCACATTGTTTTCTTACTGGACTTGAAAGTTCCTTAAGGATAGCCACTCTTTGCCATAGGGTTAATTCCGACTATGTGTATCAGAGGAGAACGGCGTCCAGAGCGTTCCAGTGGCTGGCTTTTCAGAAGTAGGTTGTCGGGTGTTTATTCTGACGGACTCACACTGCTGACCTTTTGGATAGCAGCTGAGCCCTTGCCCCTGTGAGCCATGCAGGCGCTCCTCCTCCTCGAGGATTAGAAAACTAAAACCAAAGCCAGCAATCATGCCAGTTGCCATCCAGTGGAATCTGCCTTTGGCCGGGTTCTGCCTGATGGTGACCCTGTGTGGTGCAGAGTGCCATAGGCTTTTCTTGGTTGGAATCTTTCGGAAACCTATCACTAGACCTTGTTTCCATGGTACCTCTGGGTGGGTTCGAACCACCATCCTTTCGGGGACTAGTCAAGTGCTTAAGCATTGGCATTCTTCAGGGACTCGTCCTTAGTAGGGGACTTATAACACTTTGAATCTCCACAACTCCAAGTTCAGTGCTAAGAATACATTTACTGCCCTGTTAATACTCAGAATCACAGGTCATTAGAACTTAAAGGCAGTGATTGTCAAAGGTGAGTGTTTGTAAAAAAGATTTCAAGAGTATAATAAAATGCAGATATTTGGCCCACATGTGGTTCTGATGCAGGTGACTTTTAGGTAACGCTTACAGACACACTAGCTTACAAGAAATGTAAAATCAAATTCTGACCTTTCACAGAGAGCATGCTGGGGCTTGGAGCATGTGAGCTACTCCTTTGTTTCTTAGGTTGTCTAGCCCAAGAATCCTGGCCTAAGACTTTGCACCAGAGGCTGTTTCAACTGTATTCGGAACATGAACCATGTTATCATTTTAAATTATAGTTTACAGAGCACATTATTTTTCCATTCAATAACTTATACATATTTGCCTGCTATTTTCATTAATGTTCTCTATTCCGCTTTTCTGGGTTCTAAAGTCCATTGCAATGGCTACACAGAACTTACAGACAAAAATGCATGATTCAAGGGTTTTGTGAAGGCAGGTAGCAAGTTATGATGCTGGTGAGAAATGCTTAGGTTTTTTTTTCTTTTTTTTTATCATTGTATTGGGGGCTCATACAACTCTTATCACAATCCACTGTGTGTCAAGCACATTTGTGTATTTGTTGCCCTCATCATTCTCAAAACATTTGCTTTCCACTTGAGCCTTGGTACCAGCTCTTCATTTTTTCCCCTCCCTCCCGGCTCCCTCATGAGCCCTTGATAATTTA